CCCAGAACCCAACGCAGTGCAAACACCAGACAATTCACAAAGACCTGCTTCAAAACTGCCCTCTCCCAGGCCGCACACGCACGTTTGGGGCGGCTGATCAAACAAAGGGGGGGCCGTCCCAAAACGAAGGTCGAGACGCCCAGGGGGTTTGCATGCCAACATGGTTCCAGTCGTTTGCTGTGAGGCCACTTTTGATGCGAAAACGGCAAAAACTTGTTGATTCCTGTGCGCATCGCACGCGTGGAGCATTGGCCACCTGAATCTCCAATGTTTAGCCGGCAAGGTTTGGCAAAATGTTAATCCCTTTCACGTGCGCCAATGTCCGCAGCTTATGCGCCCTGATTGCATGCCGGAGTGGTAATCTGGCTCTGTTTGGTTTCGCAGTTCGTTTCGTTGACTGCGCGGCAAATCGTCCCCAAAGAGCGTAGGGCACAGGGCGCGCGCTGAGGAGGCCCCACCAGCAGCAGCGCAACACGGCCAGCAACTGTGTGGAGAGCGGTGTGTGCCATGCATGGGGATGGCAGTCAACCAGCCAGCTGTGTGTGAGCCGGCCTGCGGCCTGAGCACGGCCAGCAAAACGCGAACTCCGGGAGCGGAGCAGCCCGCTCATTCTTGAAGGACTGGTGCAGCACGAGGGCAGGGAGCCAAGTCCAAACCACACAACTGGAAGTGAAGAGCATGTGACAAAAAGGGGACATCCCCGTTGTTACCCTTGTAGCCCTAGTTATATATTGGGGAAGTGGTTTCCAAAAAAAGATCACACACCACAGGGCTGCACATGTAGGAGTGGAAAAGGGGAAACAAACAACTTTCTGTCGTGATTGGCTAAAAAAACGGGTTCATTTGACTCGCTTGCGTATCTGTCATTGCCAACAACTTTCTTTACACCCATCTTCGGCGCGACTGGAAGAAGCAAACGCAATGGGCAAAGATATGGAAACTACGACATGGAATTGTCCGCAATGGCCAAGAGCAGGTACCAGTGCCACGGTCAATCCAAACAACCACAACGAAATCGGCACCCGAAAAATGTACGCACGTGGTGGCCACGCCATTCATCGCAATAAGGTCCAGGAATGGGCTAAGCCCTACAAACAACGGAGGGCATGCTGAGGGTTGCAAAAAGGTTGCCTGTTTTCATCGCGGTTTGGTTTCCGCAGCTTGGCGAACTGGGCACGCAATCAACGCAGGGAATTGTTTAAGCAAACATATTTAAGGCTCCCCGTGCACAGTGCTGGCAACCCCCTTCGCCTTGCACACACCACCTTGGATCACCGTCGTGGCCACTTCCCCCCTGCCCGCCACAGCCCACCACCCAAACTCATGCTCCGACCATAACAGGCCAGTATGATTTTTCCGACAAAAAATATTGTCCAGGAAGAAGCAATGGGTTTGGAGGTGGGCGAATGCAGAAAAACAAAGCTGACCAGGTCCCCCTAGTTCGGTCCTGCAGTCAAGCCTGCAGCTCGCTACGCGCCAACGTCCAGCGGCACGTGCATAATTTTTGAGCAGTTACACACATGTAGGTTGAATTTTTTTCGGGAGAAAAGACTATCAGATCATTTTTGATGAAATTCTTCTTAGCAACACCAATGCGTGGCACACTGGAGCTGGTTTCCAAGTACGTGCCGGAACGGTGTCAGGCTCTGCGTCCGCCAGGCTTCCCTTTTCTGATTTGGTCAGTGCTCACACGCACGCACGCACGCACGCACGCACACACACACACATGTGGCCTCCGGCGCTCACTGTAGACCAAGTAGTCCATAGGAGAAGTGGCACACTAAGAAACCACACGCCCTTTCGTCCAACAAGTACAGGGCATGGCGGTCCCTCTGCAATTGTGGCCCTACGATGGGCTGTCCGTAGCGGGAGCGCTTGTTCTGGAAGGGTAGTATACTGCGTCAATGGCTTTGTCTTTCGTCAGAAAGATGTGTTTTCTCCTCCGACTTGTCGTGTGGCCTTTCGCTCGGCTCACGGCCTACTTTTTTTTGGGCCGGCAGGGTTCAGGCTTGCAGGGATGCTTTGCGCAAACCACAGCCCGCTGTGTTTGCCCTCCCCACTCCTGCCCATGGCGTGGGTGCACTGATGTCCCGTTGGGTTTAGCATGACAGGAAGTTCCACGCAGACACCAGTCATGAATCATGAAACAAAAAACATGATGATATCAAATAAAACCTTCAAGTGTGACCACACTGTGTTTTTTTACCGGTACCTATGCTCAGAAACTGCTGTGTTCACTATGCCGAAGGGGCAAGGACACAAGATTGATTCGAATTTTTGTTCGTTTTATTGTGCGCGCAGGGCGGGCCCGTGAACATCAATTCGAAGACGCGAAGACGTGTGAACATTTTCCCCTTGTTCAACGTTTTTTATTCCAATGTGATTTGCATGGCCACACTTCACTGCGCCCTTTCAACCTCAGCAGAAGGAGGCCCAGATACTTGGCAGTCTACTGGTTGCTTATTTACATGTATATAGATAATATGTATATATGTCAAAAAACAACAAAAACCTGCCCGAACCAACAAACCACGGGGATTTTGCAAACCAACCCGGCACTGAGAAAGCTCTCGCCCGATTTTTTCAACCATGCGTAACTCATACTTTCAACGCGCGTCAGCGCCTGCCTAGGCGGTTTAGCCCCCTGCTGCGATGTCGCCCCTGTGCCCCCTCTGCGAGACGACGGCCGCCCACACCCGGGCGCCGCTTGCAACGATGGGCATGTCCTTCACCGGAAGTAAACACTGGTGGGGGTTGCTGGGCTGCGCCCAACAGCCACCTTGCTGGGGCTCCCTTGGCGATCCCCCACCAAGCCCTCCATCCACTCCATCCCAATCTCCCGTAGCTGGAGCTCAGCGTCGCGCGTCAGAGCAACGTGAATTTCCACCGGACACAGTTCCCACCGTGACCTTGGGTGGAGAAGTATGGTCGGATGGATGGAGTCCCAACGGCAGCCCCATCAAGCAAGGACAAGATGAGTCCAACCGAAGTGCCATCGTCGCCCTTTCCCAAGAAGACACCAGCGAATCCAAGACGGCAGGAGAGCGCCCTGGAGAAGGAAGTGAAGGAAATGGCCCTGCGGATGGCGCAGCAAACAGGAGAAGGCCTATGCGGCAAAGAAGCTGCGAAGGGCAGCGAAGCCCCAGTGATCCCAGACGGAGCGGAAGTGGTGATGATCCACTCGGACGAGGACGAATGGGAGGATCAGGATCGAGGAGAAGAGGAGCGGCAAGGGAGCTGATAATGGCTCCGGAAGCAGCAGACAGCCACAGCAGCAGGGCGTCGCCAGATGCCCAGACCATCACTGGCCTTAATCCACGGCAGGATGCAGTTGGCGTCCACACGTCACGCACCACAAGCCCTCACGGCGCCACGTCTTGCGCCACCTGTCAGCGCGACAGCACGGCGTGCACCGCGAACCCAATGGCCGAACCCGGCCATAACATTCACATTCCTCTGCTGGGCACGTGCGGGCATCCAGTAGAGTGGCAGAGCACGCCCACGGCTTGGGCACCAGAGCAGCAGCAGCAAGAACATGGTTCCACCATCATTGGCGAAGAAGATGTCAGTGACAGCCGCACTCCTCGGAGCGATGATCATGGCTCCTGTGCAGTCCATGTTCACCCAAATGTCTGGTCAGGGGGACTTCATGGAAGTGGCGTGCTCAGCCACAAGCTCGCTCAGTGCCGAGACGGAAGCACATGGCTATTCCATGCAACGAACCAACTACCTGGAAAGATCTGACCTGGACAACAGGTCAGGCACTGAGCGACCTTCATGGCCCGAGGACAACGCTGGAAGTTGGTTCATGACCCGAACTTCGAGTCGAACCGCAAGGTGCGCAAGAAGGAACTGGAGAAGATAATTCGAGAACACGAAGATGCCTTCTTCGCAGCTATCGAACAGCTGGCAGAACAGAGCTGCTGGCCTTTCACATCCGGCAAACAACTCAGGAATGGGGGTGATGAGAGTTTAGAGGTGACACGCATACCTGAACATGACCACATGAGCTGTTTGCCACCGTCCTTTCATGTATAGCCACGCATACCGCAGTGGTGGGTCCGAGCCTCAGAGAAAAGATCGTGTGTCGCACTTTCGTTGTGCGCCATAGGGTTGATCGCCACCAGTCGGCGACAAATCGAGAAGTGTACCAAGAAACTTGGTCGTGGACGTTGCTACAAAGCATTGTTGGTTGAAGGGGGTTGCTACCTCCCGCACTTAATAAACACTGTGGCCGACTTATCGAATTACAAGCTGCCTAAAATTGTCGTACTTGAGCCATGCAATCACAAGGGGTGCGGTGGATTTTCCACTGGATGTGGGTGGGTGGCTTGAATCAGCAAACCGCCAAGGACCTGGAGCGTTTACAGGATGTTTTTGGTGATCAGGGCGAGCAAATTTCAAGGGCACACCCACGTGTTGCAACTCTGTAATGGTCCGGGCCGACGGGCTCACATTTTCCAGAGCATCGACGGTCAAAACGGGCTAGCATTTTCCAGGGCGTTTACATCGTGGAAGCACATTTCTTTTTTGGGGGCCACCTTATTATACAGTGTCACACATGTATTTTTGTGCCTAGGTGCGGGTGAGGCAGCTTGTCACGTGCTATGGCAGTGGTTCCTGCGGGATAGCACCGGTTTTCGGTTTTTTGGCGGTTTTCGGTTTTTTGGGGGGTCGGTTGCTTGCCATAGTCGGAGGCCATTTTTGTGAAGGCATAGTTTGTCAGAACGCGCAACTCCGATTCGCCCATGTTAAGCCGCTTGGGTCCGAACAGCGTCCCAGATCCTCAAATTCACAGTTTCCGCACCACACGCCAATCTGCACATTGAGCATCGGCGGTGTGCATCCGCAGTTTGAACCGCAGCATGCCGGCTTTTGGCTAACTGCCCGCACGTTAAACAGAACGGTGTTCCCTGTCTGGCAGTTGCTCAGTGCACACTCAAAACTTTATAGACGCCGGCCCACCCGTGATATTTTTTGTGCCCGGACTTGGTTCACCAATGGCGTCGCGCGTGATTGTGAAGAACTTGCCGAAGCATGCGACCGATGGCCGGCTGAAAGAGTTCTTCGGCGCCGTTGGTGAGGTCACTGACTGCCGTGTGCAGTCTCCAAGCTGCATCGTGGGTTAGTGTTTTGACCGCGGGTTTCTTGCCCAATGTTGTTGCAGTCGTCCTGAGGAAAACAAAAGATGGTCGTTCCAGAAACTTTGCCTTCATTGGGTTCAGGAACTCGTCCGCATTCTCATAGCATAATGTACAGCATGTGCAGCATGTTCCCTGCTTGCTTGTGTGATTTTCCCGCAGGAACGATACAGAGGCGAAAACCGCCGTGAAGGAATTCAACCGGAGCTTTTTTGACACGTCCAAAATCAGCCGTTTGGCGTGCACACTGGCAGTGATCATGCCAATTGTAAACCATAGACGCATGCATCTTGAGGTGTTGAAATTGCACACGCCCCTGGCTCAGACGCTTTAGCACGCCCGTGGAGCAAGCAACTTGGAGGATTCTTGGGTTATTGCTGCTCGGTTACGTTAGGTGCAACAAGAGGTTTGGGCCGTGGCAAGGTATGCTCCGGGTTCATCGGCTTATGAGAAGAAAACTGCACGAAAAGCCAACAAGAAAGACAACTCACACCGAGAACGAGGACAGCTGTGGGAACTCACGTGTAGACATTTTGCATTGAAATTTTCATAAGTTTTCCCATGCGGAACCGGACTAACACCTTGGAAACCATAAGATCCATTGGAATTGAACTTCGCTGACATGTGCCTGGCCACTGGCCACTCATCAACGTGTTTACATGCGTCTTGCATGTTTCAGGACCTGACGAAGGACAGGGTGCTCATGGAAAGGCCGCTTGAAGTCACCACCAGGTTGTCGTGAAGGGTGCTTTGCTGTGTTGACTCCCCCGTGCTGAGGCTGGCACAAGACACGTGCTTGCTGAACCGGCAGGCGCAAATGGGTGTGAAGTTGTCGGCGTTGAAAACGTGCGATGTCTATCAACACCGGCGGGTCCTGAGCAGACTGCCAAACCGCTCCCCGTAGCATGCCACGCGGTGTTGCCACCGTTGCCGCCATTGCCGCCGTTGCCTGTGTGTTCGCCGCTGGGCTGGGTCCCGGTTCAGGTGAGAGGCGGATGGCGAGAGTCAACATCAAAGGAACCAAAGTGGTTCGCACGGCCAACATCAAACCCACCAAAGCTGGCGTGAGCGATACCCGAATGCACCTTGGAGATGAACGATGGGTTGGAATGGTGACCTCTTTCAGGTTTTGGTCGGGCTGTGTGGGCCAAGTTGCGAGGCTGCAACGACCACCCTGTTTCATCCAATCGGTTGGCCACAGTTCAGTCAAGCATTGGAGCTCAGTTGAGAAACGTAAAACGTTTGTTTGTTTGTTTGTTTGTCTGTCTGTCTGTTTGTCTGGCTGGCTGGCTGGCTGGCTGGCTGTCTGTCTGTCTGTCTGTCTGTCTGTTTGTCTGTCCCACAACCACAACCACGACCGAAGGGCGAGTTTTATGCCCCTCTCACGACGACCTGAGTCACCTGAGGCATACCGAGTTCGAGTCCAGTAGCTTGATTGAGTCAGAGGGCGCAACCGGTTGGCGCATGGACAAGGGCACCTGAACACGAGCATCACGAAACCTTTGTACTTGCAAGGGCTTTGTTGCGTTTTTCCTTTTCTAGTTTTTGGGAGGGGTTTTCTTTTCACAAATCTTTGGAATCGCTTCTTTTTTGGGGTCTTTCCTTGACCATTCAGATGTTGCTTTGCAACCTGCAGCATCGCGCAGGTGATGAGGAGACGAAGGAAAAAAAACCACCCACGAGAGGTGAGTCTGGACCTGCTTTCGATGAAGAACTGGATGATTTGGCCTATCTGAAGGTGAAGGCAAGGTATGAGAGACTCATACCTTCAAGCCAAGAAAGGAACCAAACCTCTTGCTCGTTTCGTTCCGGATGGGGGGCCTTTTGAACAGAGATCCGGGCCCAGTGGCACCTTTTCAGGCAAAGGGCGCCAAGACAGCAGAGGTCCAGGTGGAGCAGGTAGAGATGGAAACGCCAAAGAAGCGGTCCAAAGGCAAAAAACGCAGCTTGGCGCACGTGTGGATGGCATCCAAAGAATACAATATCCCGTGTGAATGGTGTGGTTGATGTGTGGGTGCTTCCAATGCGCTTCACCAGTGCAACGGGCTGCATCCCTGTCCGATGAGCAGAATTAAAGCAACCAAGGCTCTAAACAGAAGGAAGCTGAAGGCTGGTTGTTGGTCATTGGGTTTTTAGCGCCTCAGGCGTTTTGGGCGCCACACTTTTGAAGAACTCACTTAGTTCTTCCGACCTCAGATGCCTTCCCTTCGGCCTCAGACCCTCGGACCAGGCATCAGCGCCGCCACGGACGCCGACCCAGCTGCCAGCGAGGCGGCCGCGGTGGATGCGGCGGCGGCGGCGGACGCGGCGGCGGCGGAGGAGGGCGAGCCGGAAGGCGGCGGACGTGGCGGGCGCCGGGAGGGCGGGTCTGGAAGTGTTTGCAACGGCTTTTCTAGGAGGTGAAAACAGAGGAGGCCGCCGGTCAAAGAGTGTATCGTGACGGACGAATACTTAGAACAAAACTTTGAAAAACTTTTCCTTCTAAGTGAACACTTCAAACAATGCCAATTTGCACTTATAACATGTCAAGTTGACCCCGGAACAACCCCACACTCAGAACATTTTTGGACTTTTGTTCTTGAGTATTTGTCCGTCACTTTGTTTAGTCAACATGTGTGCAAGCAAGGAACTTTATAGAATACTGAGAAGCATGTGTGACTGCATAGGTACCTCCATAATTGCACCACCAATAGCATCCACCAAGATGTTCTAAGTGTGGTGTTGTTCCGCTGCGAACTTTTCTGTTCTAAGTGTGGGGTTTTACCTGATGTCCTAAGTGTGGAGGTTTTCAACTTTGAAAAAAATTGCTGTTCTAAGGAATTGTCCGTCACTATAGTCGAGGAGTTTGATGATCGAAATTGAGCAATATGCATGCCACCAATGGTTAGCAGGCTACGCTGCACTGGCTACACCGCCCCGTGCTCTTCCCTGTCCCTTTTAAATCCGTCAAGAGCCTCGCAGGTGATCGATTTCCCAGCAAATCACATTGGGACACACACGCACACAGAAGGCATCTTCGAGGACGAAAGATGCTGGGCCTTGCAGGTTCTCCAACACGATTCTTTTCTCGAGATTGACCTTTATCAAATCCCTTGACCAAGAAGGATCCCAGAACGGTGGCAACAAGAACCACGGTCGCCTCAAACACTCGACCGCGTTTCCAGCCCACCGAAGACCGAGTCCACACCCACCTGCCGTCGGTCGGTTTTACTTGGTCGACTCTTCGTCCACGTCATCGATTCGTTGGTCGAGGTTCCCAAAACCTGGAAGACCTGGAGTCCACGGGTCGCAGCTCGGAAGGAGATGCCGGAAAGGACCAGGTGGCCACGGGTTTGGCCGTGCTTGTGTGGACTTCACGCGCGTTGTTTGAATGAGACGAGATTGAATGAGATCACCTGAGGCTTGTACATAACCAATTTGCCCTATGGCGCCAGTGAAGATGAAGTTCGTGCTCATTTTGAGACTCTGGGAGAGGTGGACTCGGTCGTGGTGTGCAAGGAGACCAAGCATCGGTCGGTCGTGGTGTTTCAGTAGTCGTGGCATGTAGCAGTTTGCTTTTTAGTTTGCCTCACTCAAGTGAAGCCAAACCTGCCCAAGCACTTCTTGAGGATGAAGACAACTTAAAGTCCCGTGGATTTGGCTATGTCACTTATGTGCAGCTCGAAAGCACGGGGCAAGTCCCAGGGTCAACCAGATTCAGGCATATTCAGGCTATTCTCGACTGTTTAGAAGAGACATTTGCACTGAAAGCCTTCTCTTGCCACCAGATAGATGGCTCACTTTATTCAATATCGAGCGTTTGGTCACCCAGGTTCCCTGAGTGTGCTGTGAGATCCTTGGAATGAAGCAGATGCAGGGCCTGCAGGGCGTGAGTTCACACGTCTTTCTGCGCAAGTGGCCGGGCCAGGCTTGGCGTTCAAGGCTTGTGCGACGTTAGATGTTCGATATCCCTTTCGATCTGTTTCTGCTTTGTCTATTTAACCCTCCAGTTACAACAAAAGGACAAGCACCAGCAGCTTTGTGTTCCATTTCATCTTCTCACCGGTGGCGTTAATTGACCGTCAAACTGCGCCTCGGAGTGATCTCCACTACCGTCAAACTGCGCCTCGGAGTGATCTCCACTGGAGGTCGGGGCGCAGGTCCTCCCCATCCACACCTTTTTTCACAGATACGGGCCTCCAGGACATGAAGGTCCCCAGCGGCCGCGGTGTGTGCTGTGCCTCAAGTCTTCCTCACCACGTGTCCTCTCACCAAGGAGCGTTGTCCGAGCTGGACCTGAAGTCCTTCCAGGGCCGCCTCCTACGCCTGTGCGCGGCCAAGCAGAAGCCGGACAAACCCGAGAAGGCGGAACCCAAGGCCCGGCTTGACCAGGACCAGGTTGAACGGTGAGTCTGGGATGCAGCTCTAGTGCTGCTTGGCATCAGACCGACTTTCACAAATAAAGCACTCTCACCACCGGCCGGTCAAGGAGGATGTTAGTACTGCAACTCTCTCTACATGGGGTACTGTAATGTACTGTACCTGTTTGTGGGACATGCCTGATCTCCTGACGGACTCTTAGGGTGTAAAGATCTGGAATTCTCAATGCGCCGAAGGCAAAAGGTGGGACGAGCTCCTACAAGCGCCGCTTGGATGTCAGGGCGCTGAATGACATGGGACGACTTGGGTGTTGCACTTTTCGGTGTCAGATCCTCTCGAGATGAGGAGGACGCTTTCATATCACATCACTTGGATAGATACAGCACGGAAGTTTCACATGGGTGATGGTTGATCCAGGTGAAACCTAGCAATCTTGGAGCCAAGGACTCTTTTGTTGCAAGGCCCATGTGTCTGGAGGTTTGGTGACCCACAGCTGAGGCCGACTGGAAGCGCCTTGGCCCACAACGTCGAGGTGCCAAGAGGAACTGTACCTTCATTATCTTTAAATTAGATAGGGCATCGTTCCAAAAAACCGACTCTGCCGAAATGCTGATCCCACATGATCTGCCGATCGTTCATGCTTTTGATCTACTAGGCCTTTCTTTTCGAGGAACACTTAGCGTCGCCTCAATGGTGCATTCTTTGTGCCACCGTCACACGCCCGCGCCACACACGTCCCGTCTGACGGGACCGTGGAACCCACGCTGCAACATCGCCGTCTCGCCCGCCGCGGTGACGGCGCCGTCGTCGGCTTCGTTCGCCCGCGTCCCGAGGAACGAAAGAAGAAGGTCGACGCTCACTTGGAGCACACGTGGAACCTGCTCTACGTCTCCGCCAGCTCGGCGGCGGACGCGGCCAGCGCTCAGCTGGGCGTGGCCAAGAGCCAGCTCTTCGGGAAGGATGCGGAGAATGCGGCCGTGCCTCCGAGAATTGCGGTTCCAGCGGATGGGGTGTGTGGAGCTCTGGGGTGCAGAAGTGTGTCGGACTTTTGAAGGCGATGCCCCAAAAAAAGCACTAAGGGACCATAAGTGACCATGAGCTTTCGGATGTGTTGGGATGATCTGTGCTGGGGAGGAAGATGGAAAAAAGAGAATCATTGCTGCTTGTCTCGGACTGTGGCTGTGCACCTTGTGCTAAGGTGACGGCCACGCTCACTGAGACGTCCATCATTCAGCAAACGTGACTTGGCTGATGTCAAGAATGCTGCTGTCCTCCATCCGGTCCAATTGTCAAGGTGCCCGGACTTTCTTATGGAGTAGAGTCAGTAGTTCAATGAGATACACCCGCCACTCACTAACATGGACACCTCCTGTTCCTAGAGCAAAATGGTCTTCCCGGGGCCTATTTTCATCTATTTTTCACTTCCATGTTAGTGGGTCAGAGTGTCTTCTAAACCAAGCCCGACGCGCTGTCAATTGATCTCGAGGGTCTCCACGTCTGTGCAGCGACTCCTCGCCCTGAGGAAGACCTGGCTGCAGCGCGAGGGCATCCGAGTGGACGCCTTCAAACAGAAGGGCACCGCCCTGACGAACAGCAAGGCCATCCTGCCAGAGGATGCCAAGCGACGAGAGGACACGCTGATTGTGCCATGGCGCTGATGATTTTTTGGGTGAGGCCACCTGTGGAGATTTTCTTATCGCAGAGGAACATGTCAGCATAAAGTGGGCTCTGCCGGCGCAGGGTTCGCCGGCCCTTCAAGGAACTCCTTCTGGAAACCAATTTTTGCATTAAAACCAGCTGGTTCGATGATTGCCACCTGCATCGAGGTTTGTGGTGATACACTAGCCTCTGAACCGAAGTCGGATGCAGTGACCAAAGTGACAACCATTGGCGAAGCCTCCGAATCTTCTCTCTCACATTATTGGTTCAGGAAGCTTCAAGTGACAGACGCAAAGTGATCCCCTGCCAAAGCCTCAAAAACTCTTCGAAGTGCGCTTGCTGGTGCTTCTTCACTTCGTCCCCTCCGGGTTTGGAGCCTCACCTGGTGACGTCCCACACTCGACTGCGCCTCGGCCGCGCCTCGGCCGCAACCGGGCCGTCCGAGGTGAAGCACCTGCCCGCGGCGGCCTCCGGCGCCGAGCTGCGCGAGCGCTTCGGCCGCTTCGGCGCGCTGGTGCGCTGCGCGCTGGCGCCGTCCAACACGGCGCCCTGGACGCGCCGGGGGGAACCAGGGTGTCCTTCGGACCGGTCCGGACCGTGAAAGACGGGCAAGACGAGGGGGGTCGGTGGAAGGGCAAAGGAAGGCACCGGACGTCCTGGTGGAGGAGTTGGGTCGGCTGTTGGAGTACCTTAGTGTTTTTTGTTGGGCCTGTTGGGTCTTAATGAGGCGGGTGGGTTGGGCAATAGAGAGGTAAAGAGATGCAACTGGAAGGTGGGTCATCGAACAGCAGTGGGCTACGGCGATGTTTGGATGTTTGAGAAATGTGGCAGCCAATGTTAAGGATTGTCGTCGTAATCTTTTTCTTTTGAGTCTGAAGCCCTCGGGCCAGGGCTCAATGGGAGGAAGTTCTTCATCCATGCTGTGCATAGGAGTCAGGGACCTTCAGTGAGCCAAGTCATTTGGTTTTAACGTTGTACTCCCCAAGTCATGAACATGAATACGGAAGTGGATCGAAAACCACCCCTTTGGGCCTGTCTTTAGCGATGATTTCAGGGAGTGGAAAACAGCCAAGTCCTCTGTCCAGGTGGCCATCGTGCAGTTCAGCGACAAAGGCTGCCCCACTCAGCATCGGACGAAGTGGTGTTCCACCGGACGAAGTGGGTCGCCTCCGAATCGAAATCGGAGAATGTGACGAAAGAAGAACAACTATATAACGAGATGTGGAGTACCTGATGTGGCGAGATCTCCGTCTGATTGTTTGCTCTGAGATTTTTTCATTTTTAACAATTCCAGGAGTCACAAGACGGGGTGGTGTGTAGTCCCATCCAGTGAGCGGATGCACCCCGACTACCTCCATGGATCGCACCCCATCAAACGTGACTGCTGGTTGAGTGTCTCTTTTGTGGCTGGCAGGTGCGGCAAAGCATGCGTTTCAGAAGCTGGCCTTCTCACGCTATCGCAGCTGAGACGGAACATGCCATGGGTGGTGGGAGCCCGTTGGAGCCGAGCCAACATTTGTCGTCGTGATCGGCTGCCAGACTCTTGTGAAGGAAGACTTTTGAGGATACCAAACACCCATGTCTATGTTATATTTTAGAGGACCTGCTAGCAGAATGTACAATGAGCATTCAGCATGCACCCAGCTGGTTTTGCCAATTTTCACCGGCAGAGTTTCCGGAATGCAGCCAATGGCTGCATTTGAGGTCATGTCCCGCTGTATTTGGAGTGGGCCCCGGAGGACGTGCAGCTTGGTGAAACTTGCAGCCATGGTCAAAGTCCCTTCCTCCTTTGTACAGGACTCGTCCTGTCACTGTGAACATCTGGCATCTATCTCCCAAAAAAGTCTGAGATCAGAAGCTTTCTGATATAGTTTCTACCTCGTTTCTTGGCCGAGTGAGTGAGGAAGATGAGTTCCACGGCCCTAGGTAGATCAGCTCCATCCAAAAGGGGAGCCACCTTTTTGTGAGGTTCACTGACGGCTCTGCACCCGCAGCGGATGATGCTGATGCGGCTGCCGAGGAGGAGCTGGACGAGGCCCGTGGGCCGCGGATGTGGAGAACGCCGCCTTGAGCCGTAGACGCAGTAGCAGGCGCTGCATTTGAACGGATCCTCCGACCCTCCTTGCGTGTGAGGTGACCATTGCTTTGTGATTCTTGACGCCTTTGGAAAGGCGGAGTGGCACTTGACATTGTTCTGTACCGTTTCTTCTTTCTGCAGGAATCTCGTGGATACCTTTTTGCCGCTCAGACGAAGCAGAGCCTCGAAAGTCTCTCTGGATATATGTATATATCTATCACACATATGCACACACACACACGTATATATATATATATATAAGTGCTTTTAAATTCCGTAATGTGACAGAGAATTACCTTTTCTTGATGCGACTTTATTGGTCTCAAGAGCTTTGCTTTTTCCAACCAGGCCCCGGCCCTGCCCTCCCTCACCTCCGCTTCGGGTGTCGTTCTATTTTTCGGCCGAGGTGAAGAACTTGAACTTCAGCACCACCGAGGAGGCCTTGAAGAAGGCCTTCCGGAAAGTGCCAGGCTTCCGCTCTGCAGTGATCATGCGGAAGAAGGCCGCGGTGACCAAGAAGAAGGGCGCCGTGAAGGAGGACGTGCCGACGTTGAGCACCACCAAAGAAGCGCGGTGAGGTCAGGGAGGAGGGTGCTGGCCGACAGTGGAAGGACTCTGCCCCGAAGCTTTGGTCTATGTCAATGTCCTTTGCAGGATGTGTGACTTGGTCTAGCCAGTTGTTTGAACCCTGGGAATTTCCCCCAGCTCGCCAGTGGCAGCCTTGTCCCAAACCCACCACCTCCTACCAACCGAGCACCCTTTTCATGTTCTGTGATCGCGGGGCAGAGACCTTCACAACTGCAGTGGACGCCCGTGCAGGTGAAGGCTTTGAGGTTCCTCACCTCTTCTTGGGCCATGTTGGTCCATTTGTGGGCCAAGTGGTTGATCGTGTTGGTGCCCTGTGCTTGGGTGCACGTCAAGAAAGGGCATGAAGCCTGTTCCAGACCCTCGCAAACACCACAGGCTTTAACCACTGAGCTCCTAAGCGGCCACTGCCAGGAGGAGAAGAACCTTTCGATGGGCTATGGTTTCCTAGAATTCGAGACGGCTGCGCAAGCGCAAGAGGTCTTGAAGAAGAAGCAGGGCGTTTCTCGGCACATGCAGGGTTTAGGGTTTATCACAAGCCCCCTCACTGGCCATGGGGAGTAATTCAAGCTGAAAGATCCAAGCCGTGCAAGCAGCCTGCTGGTGGACTTGTGTGAAAGTCATTGTTCCACAGTGATTTTTTTCGAATCTGTTTCCCTCTCAAGTGCAGTGCCGCGCTCAGAGATGAGGTGCTTATCGATGGTCATGCTGTTCAGCTGCAGCTGAGCCAGGCTCGTGGCTCCAAGGTCATGGGCAATTCCAACGCCAAGAGCTCCGCCAAGGCCTCAGGCGAGGCCTCAGGGATGTTCAACAGTGGAACACCACCCGGACTGAGTTGTGAAAAAGAGCGGGCATGGCTCAAATTTTCTGATTCGGATCCCAAGGATTGAAGGTTAGGGATGACTGTAAGCCACACACGAGACAGCATCTAAAGAATCTAAAGATCAAGTTCCCAAGTGTAAAGATCTCCACACTCTTGGACTTGGGGGCCACTTTGGTGAAGTTGACTAGGTGATCAAGGTAACCTGTCACCTGTCACCTGGTGCTCCCGAGAATATCCAGACGCGAGGAGTTGCAAGTCTAAAGCCCGCCTGTGCCAAGTGTTTGTGCTTCTGGCAGGCATCAAATCATCCAGCATCTGCGTGCGGAATGTTGCCTTTGAAGCCACCAGAAGCTCGATCCTGTCGGATTTGTCCTGGAGTGTGCGTATCCACATCCGGGTCTTCTTTTCAATTCCCATTTGGGCAAGGTTACGGTAAGGTTTCCAAAAGGTCTTAACTTCGGCAAAAGGAGCAACGAAGAGGCTTTTTCGGGTTTGCGAGGGCAAGCTCTGTGTTTCTTTAGGGGGAATCAGGATCGAATCTTAAAACACCACCATTTGCTCATGAATCATCATGAATCCTCCTTTTCTCCAAGGAAAAGAGCTCTATCAGTTGTTTGGAGCTTATGGCACTGTGACCTCCTGCCGTCTTCCCAAGAAGTCGGACTACAGTGGGCACCGAGGCGCGGCGTGTGTCACAAGTTCTCGTCATGTCTGCAATCACCGTACCTTCGAAGGTGCGACTGAATCCCTACCAGGACCTGTTAAGGTCACCACCTGCGACTGGCATAAGTCTACAAGGTCACCTCCATTTCGGAGACCTCTTGGAAGGTGCTGGTAGGGAGCGCACCGTTTTGCCCACGCGGATCCTCCAGAACGTTCCAGCCCCCCGAACCTCGCCCTCCGCTGCTGGGGGGTGAATCACCCACGCCGCCTTGAAAAGACCCGCCGCTTCCGAATGCGGCGGCACGGCGGAGGCTTCGCCTTCATCGACTTTGCCTCGCGCGCGGAGGCGCAGGCGGCCTTTGGAGCCTTGCAGCACAGCCATCTCTACGGGCGGCGCTTGGTCATCGAGCCTTGCCGGGGGCGCGGTTTCGGGCGGCTGGCGGTTGGCGTCGGTGGTTCGGGGGCATGTTGAGAAAGGGGCGGTGTGGCTGATGCGTGGATTTCGTGCAGTAAGACATGTAAGTTTTCTGTTTTCCTTCGAACGCCGATGGTCGTCTTCTTGCCACCTCCAATTGGGCTTTCTGCTGAGGAGCCCGCCGAGGAGAAGGCCTCCGATGTGCTGAACGTGCAGATGGCCGCCGCGCAGAGGCAGCACAACCAGATCCGTGCCAGCGAGGCCAAGAAGCGGAGGAAATCGGGTGCCACTTGGCCCGGATCCGGAGCGAACGCGGTGTTTTTGGAGGGCTGCGAGCTGTTTGGAGCACGGGTGCCAGTTGGGGGTCAAGCAGTTCTGATGTCTGGGAGGGGGCAAGTGACCGGAGTTGTTAGGAGTTACAGCACGACCCCCACAACCCCCTCCCCACCTGGAGCAGTTGGGCACTGGGCGTTTCCAGGGAACCATTTGGGCCATGCAAGGTGAAGAAATGCTGGATGGGCCATGCAAGGTGGTCCACTTGAATTCGTTCATCCCTTTTTTTTGGGACATGGTCCGGGGTGCTTCCTGTTATGTATGCGGTGGGTGGGGGTTTGGGTTGGTAGGAGGTTTGCACGCAGCCGATGCAAGGCACAAATAGCCTCGGATTAGCCATCGAACCTATAGCTCCTATAGTTGTCTATATTGGTTGTCGATCTCTATCTCTCTGTTCAGTCTATCTATCTCCAGCTTGGTGCAACTCTCAGGTGCTCAATGCGCCTGGGGAGGCGGCTTCCTTCGAAGACGCGCTGGCATGAGATCCGTGGTCTCACGTGTCACCCCGAAGCCCGAAGCCGCTGGACTCGCCCTGGGGGCTCGCCGGCCCGGGCCCGGAGCCGAAACGCGGGCGAGTCGATGTCGGCTGGAAAAATGGCGAGGGTCGGCGAGGGATGAGGTCGCTCCAAAAAGATCCAAAAGGGGGTGGTCGCCTGAAATGGGGTCGCCTGGTTTGGGGCGCGGTGTGTGGCAAGCGGTTTTTAGCGTTGAACCCGCTGCGGCACGGTGCTGCATTGCTGCACCGTCTTGAGCTTGAGTGGCAGATGCGTGGGCTCATGGATAGAGAAAGAGAAAGCCGACAGAGGGTCAACATTTGACACATGGAGGAACTCTACAGCACGCACTGAGGCGAACTCTAGAGCATGTCACAGATAAGGTGCCATGTTGTCCAAACCAATTCGCAAGAACAAAACACCCTTGCCCGGTATCTCACCATGAAAAGAAGCCTAAGATTCGATTCCCACCTTTCTTCAATGGGCTTATAGCTAGTAGTCCCTTGCACGCTTGCTGGAGGCTCAGAAGGAATCGGAGTTAAACTGAAGGCATCCCCAAGCCGACAACTTATTGACATACACACGGATTTGAAAGAATGATGCTGAAACTTCCCAAGACTTCATAATACCATATAATATATAAATATATAAGATACTAGAAGATATATAATAAGAAGTGGGCTGTATGCAGCAGCCCGGAGCACCAGCTTCACGTTCTTCTTTTTCATCCATCGCTTTTTCCATACTTGTCCCACGCCCCAAGAGAATTCAGCGTGCTCCGCGAGCGCCGCGCGAGGTCATGTCAGCTCCACCACCTCCACCACCAGAGGGGTGCGTGTGTCACACATGTGGTTGGGAGGAGTCTCCTCCGAGCTTTGGAGAGTGCGACGATGTCGGGTGATTTTCGGGGGATTTGATTGGGGGGATTCTTTGGCAGGGATTTGGGCAGGGATTTGAAGTCCAGGAGTGCTGAGATTGGAGCATTTTACCACTTATAGGTGGGCAGTACTTATTGCACCAGGCAGCCCGAAAAAAAGCATGGCAGTGGAGGAGCTGCCCGGGCAAATCTTGGGCGGTGGAAACTCAACTGGATCATTTCTTATAGCTGACCATGCAGTTGAATTAACACCGGCTAGTGTGGGACGTTTGCTGACCCCATCATTCACATGAAGAGGATTCTGCTTCTGTTGGTGCCAATGTCACCTATGTGTATAGATCCAGGTTCTTCCATAGGGGGCCGACCGTCATCTTGAGCAGCACCTTCCAAAAGTGCTACCTTGTTTCAAGCAGATGTGGCCCATAGTCCAGCAAGTTGACCATGACCTGAGGGACCTGAGTTGACCATGGCTTTTGGAAGGTGTTGACACAATGAGCCGACTACAGGCACTATGAGAGAGGATAGAAGTTCCTAAATCTCCCCCGTAGAAAATGTATTGGAAGCCATTTCTATGTTATGTATTTGGGACAATCTAGTTGGTGTCTCACTCATTCTTTTTCCCCAGCACAAGCTTGAGCTCGGACTTTGGTGGATTCTCTGGTGCCGTTTGAGCTCGGACGTTCGGCCCTCGCGGATGGCCTAGCCGTGGTTTCTCCGTGATGGGGAAGGGCGGCAAAGCCAAAGGAAAGGGTAAAGATGGCAAGGGAGGAAAAGGAAAAGGCATCTTGACATCGAGCAGCAGTGCGTTGTCACGGATCAGCACGTGAACGCCCCCTTCAAGGAGGCGGAACGCCCCCTTCAAGGAGGCGTTTCCCGTAATAGTCATGAAGGTTATGAGGGGTATGCAGGCACATGTGCTTCACTCCGCGAAGACAAGTGTCACAGTGCAGAAGAAAGTGGGATCAATATTCTAGGCCACATTTCCGCCTACAAACTCCCATGCAACTCATGGTGCGAGTGATAGGGGAAGCCAGATTCGTGCAGCAAAGCAAGCCCAAAGCTAAGGCAAAGTGAAAGGCGGTGGCAAAGGAAAGAAGGGAGGCTGGGAAAGCGAAAAGCTGTGGCGAGTCTTGTGGACAGCGAGCCGCTCTGAAAAGCGTCAGCATCCTCTTCTCAACGCATGACAAATCATGACCAGATGTTCTCCTGGTTGATGAGGCGGCAAGGGCGGAGGAAAGAAGGGCGGAGGGAAGAAGGGTGGAGCAGCCAAGGTGGTCATTGAACCCCACCGCCGCTGGGACTTGCACGGTGCAAGTTAGTTGGTGGCCATGGTTTGCATTGCTTGGTCACCAACATGGGCCACCAGTTGCTGTGAAACGACTTTTTTTCACACTCTTCAGGTCTCAATGTTGCAGCTGCCACTAACCAATTCCGCTCGCTCATGGCCACTAGCTCAGGCCATGAAGGCGCCTTCGTGTCCAAGGGCAAGGTGCGGCGAGTTTGGGCGATGGAGCGGGGATGAGAGGAAGACTCGGAAGCGTGAGCTTCTGGATGGGAATGCCCGGAGCAAGGGTTTAAAGCAAGTTATGTATTTCTGTATAGATATGAGCATCAACCATCTCGCATATACATATATATTCTTTTCCCCCAAACAGTTTACTGTTGGGGTTCTCTCTTATGAAAAAAAGCGCTGGCCACACTTGCTGTGTCCGGGCTCTGTGTCCGGGTCTTGTCCTCCTCTTGTCTGCTGTTGTCCTCCGGCAGCGCTTGTCCTCCTGTTATAGTCCTCTCGTCCTTCTCTTGTCCTCCTTTTGTCCTTCTGCCCCTGAACACTGGATCCGGAGCTTGTCCTTCTCTTGTCCTTCTCTTGAAAGACAACTCCAGAAAGCAACCCCTGCCAGAAGCCGATGTCTTCTCCTTGTTGCATTGGCCACAGTGTCAGGCAGCGCCGGCGGACCCTGTCCGGATGTCCTCCTCATCTCCTCATGTTACAATCTTTTCGGTCCAGTCCTCCTCATGATCTTCTGTTGCTTTCTTGTTGTCCTTCTTCAGGTGTTCATTGGCCGTGGCTGCCAGCATTTCTCCGGCTGTGCTCCTCCTATCATTTTGTTGTGTTTCTCTTGCCCTCTCTTCCTCTTCTCATCTTGTTCTCCGTTCTTGGGCTGCTCCCCTCATGTGGTCCTGTTGTCCTTTTGGCGTTGTCCGTCTCTTGGTGTGTTCATATTGTTTTCCTTCCCAGGGTCCCCGGGCTGCCGCCCACCACCACGACAGCAATTCTTGCCGACTAAGCTGTTTGGGGTCTATGCTGGCATAATTGTTTCACATTCACATGCACACCAAATACACACATACTGTAAAAACAACATTGGCACGCTGCAGCCCACATGGTTCGGTGCGTTCAGGATGACTCCCTGGTGACGCGTAACCTCGTTCCTGGGGAGTCCGTCTACGGTGAGAAGCGCCTGGTGGCAGAGAGTGCGGATGGCGAAGACAAGCACCTCGAAAAGCACCCTGAGAGTTTAGGAAAAATGACTCAATTTACCCCCTGTCAGTGGATTATGACCACCAGGCGGGGTAGAATGAGTCAAGGCACGGAAGTTCCGGGTAAGGACAGTGTGGAGGTCTCGACCAGGAACGACTAGGAAGAAGGACCCGAAGAGGAACTCGAAACGAAACTTGTGCGGCCGTGTGGGGGGTGGAGGTTGCGGGTTTCTCTCCGTTCCGACCAATCCTGAGGATCGAGTACCGCGTGTGGAATCCCTTCCGTTCCAAGCTGGGCGCCGGCATTGTGGGCGGCATTGGCGCCTGCCCCGTGAAGCCGGGCGCCAAGGTGCTCTATTTGGGCGGAGCCAGTGGCACGACGGTGTCTCACGTGTCCGACATGGTGGGACCTGAAGGTGGGGTGGGACCGGGTCGGGGACCAGGGCAGGTATCGTTTTGGGAGCAATGTGGAAGCTACAAGTTGGAGGGATAGAGGCGATTTTTTCGTTGCACCCCCTATTGTAGTTGGGGTTGGGGATAGAGGCTATTGTATAGCTACAACTTGAGGCTACAAGTTGGAGTGTTTGAAGATGTTTGAATTCCTCCCTCCTCCCGCTCGACCGATCCCACCGCCTCTTTCGACCGCCGCCTCCAGGCGTGGTCTACGCGGTGGAGTTCTCGCACCGCTCGGGGCGCGACCTGACGAACATGGCGAAGCGGCGGCCCAACGTGGTGCCCATCGTGGAGGACGCGCGCCAGCCGCAGCGCTACCGCCCCCTGGATGAATCGAGGAGTGGGGAGTGCGGAGCTCTTGATTGTTAAAACCACCTGAGCCTGATTTGGTTTGGGTTTTTTTCTTCATCAACATGATATATCTTCTCCGCACGAGGTGGTGAACCTAGTGCGACCAGTGGCGGGCTGGTGTGTTTGGGGATGGGTGCCATAACACGAGCCAGCGGCAGTTTTAGCGATGAAGAGAATTCCCTGTATGGTCGTCCAGGTGCAAGAGGAAAGATGTAGCCCTTCCAGCCACACCTTCATTTCCAACTTGAAAGATTTGGTGGAATAAAGATTTGGTTGCTCTGCTTTCTTGCGGCACATCTTCATGACACTATAAACATCTCTAAATCCTCTCCCAATACTTCTTATTTGGAGGCTCATTCTTGGTGTGCAAGAATCATGATCATGCTCCTCCTTCGTCTCGCCCAGCCGCCATCACGAAGTGTCTGAGGCATGTTGATTGGCATGGTGGATTGCATTTTTTCAGACGTGGCCCAGCCCGACCAAGCGCGTATCGTCACACACAACGCGAGCTTCTTCCTGAAGAACAATGGATGGGTCATGACGCTTGTTCGGAGGGCCTTTGAGGACTATATATTTTCTTCGAAGTTTAAAGTATATAAGGCAAATAGGATCAAATAGGTCCATCGGACTCTATGACTTCTTGGTGCCTCTTTTTGCCGTCCAACCAACTGCCAGATCTTTCGGTGGATGGAGGACCCAAGGATTTGCTTGTTACCGGGGCCCGGGCCTGTCTTTGGAAGCAAGACCCTAGTTCAGGTCACTTAACCTCTGTTGGGAAGCCTTCGGACCGCACTGAGGATCTCCATCAAGGCCAATTGCGTGGACTCCACCGCGGCGCCGGAGGCCGTCTTCGCCTCCGAGATCGACAAGCTGCGGAAGGATGGGGTGAAGCCCAAGGAGCGGAGCTGCGGGGAGACGGGGAGACGGGAGAGAGCGGGGCTTTTATGGGCGGTGGGATGCAGCTAAGAGGAACGTCTCCTGTAACCCCCCCCGAAAGCCTGAAGAGGTTTCTTAGGGGCAGGAGAGGGAGGACAGGTGTGACAGGTCAACGTCCACTCCCATGCGCCAGCAGGAGCAGTTGACGTTGGAGCCGTATCATCGCGACCACGCATTGGTCGTTGGCATCTACAGGGCCTCGAAGAAGAAGAAGGAGGAGTGAGGAAAGGTGTTCGAGATGAACAGCCAGCAGACCTTTGAATGATGGTTGGCCAGTTTTAGACTTGTGAACATCCCTGACAGACCTACGGCAGTGGACCAAAGAGAGACCAAGCTTCAACGATTCAATTCATTCAAACACCAGAGTCCAGTATCCAATTCTTGCAATTCATATTTTGCTTAAGCCTCTGGGGCACTATAGGCCAACCCACTTCGAGCGTGACACGGCGCGGTCTGTGCCCGCGTCCAACGCGCTGTTTGCTGACCCAGCCTTGGTTGACAGAGCGCGACGAAAAAGCGTTTTCTCGTCCAATTGCTAGCCCTTCTTCATTCGCAGATCTTGCTTGGGCGGTGTCTTTTCTGTCCCCATCTCAACCTGCGGCATTTTCAGCCTTGTTGGCCAGGTATGGCGTGCCCGCTGCGGCACCTCCACCACCCCCGCCGCCGGGGCAAGCGATGCCACCCACCATGCAGCCGATGAGCATGCAGGTGCAGCGGTTTTGGGGCGCTGCCGGTCATCCAAGGTTTTGGCTACCCTGGGAGTCGAAGACTATACAAAGGATGGTCTTGAGGTGACCTGAAAAGGAATTTCCTGTACTTCAGTAACTTCAGTTGGTCAAAATATAGTCTTTGGACTTCTAGGGGTTACTTAGACTTGTGTTGGCCATCTTTCCACCATGCCAAGGATTGTGGGTGGGCTGTTCGGAGACGTTTTTTGGGAGGAGCCACCTGCGGTTTGCGTGCGGCTTAGTGGGTTGCTGAAATAGGTGCATCGAAGGAGTTCGACCTTGAGTGATTCTATTGGTGTGATTGTTGTGTATTTCTTCGCTTTGTCATGAATGAAGTCAAGTAACTACGCGGCTGGGTGTGTTGCATGGGACCTATATGAGCACCGCAAACGTACGATGGGGCAGGGGGGGTGATGACAGCCCAGCAGTTTCCGTTGGTTTGGGGAGTAGCAGGTTTTGGCTGCCATTCTTAAGACGAGGGTGTCCGGGAATTGGGAGAAGAATGGGGGGTGGGTGCCATCATGCTGGCACAGTTGGGAGGGGGAGCCGAGTTCGGCAGCCGAGTTCGAGACCGGCGGGATGGAGGATGGAGACCGGGAGAGCGAGCTCCGATTCCGGGCTCCGAAAAGGACGTGAAAAGGAGTTGACGACGTATTCTGAGCTGTATGGTTCAACATCATGCAGACTCTGCAGAACCCATACACCCCCCCCAATTGAATTGAAGTTGAAGATCCTCTTCAAAGGGGGGGGTTTATGAATCAAGAGTCTACATTACTGCAGGTCGCAAGTATGTCCCACCATTTTTTGCTTCTCCAAAAGCTCCCACTTCTTGGGCCAGGCGCATATTCAAGCGCAGATCCAATTCCAGGCAGACCGGCGCGCGTTTCGCCGCGGGTCGTCCGATCGAGGACGCGGCCAACATATCTGGGCATGTCCCGTTTCTTTGAACAAGGGGTCTTTGAAGGGGTGGGTGCTGACATAAAATATAAAGTTTAAATATAAAGAATATGTAAACCGGCATGTGGTTGTTCGCACCTTCTACCGGTTTCATGAGTTCCTTGCTCTACCATGCGCAGCACCATGGTTCAAGCTGCTGGTTGAATCGCAGATCGATGCCCTTCAAAACCCATCATGTGCCGCCAGCCGTGGCTGAGAACTTTCGAAAACCCGACTCAGCAGCTCAAAGACGACAGGCATTATATACACCAAATACCTCCGAGCCGTTTCTCGCCAGCCTGACAAAAGTCGGGCACGGATGCCATGGCAGCTGGCTGGCCCGGCCCAGTGAAACATGGATGATCCGCCCGAACTCCTTGACACTCAGACATCCCTGGCTTCAACTCAGTTTGATAGCTTGAGCGAGGAGAACCCTGATGGCATCGAAGACCCCGAAGCCCTTGTGCCAGCCGAAGGCGAGGAGGAGGCGATCCACGAGGCCTTGTTGAGGGCTTCCTCTCGTGGCGACCTGGAGGTCACGGACGTGAACCTCAGCGGCCGAGCGCAGCGGCGCCTCGCGCGGCACGCGCGCCGCGCGCGGATCCCCTTGGTCTCCCGTGCGCTGGTGGTGGAGGACGACTTCGTGGACGTGGAGCAGGTCGCCAGCGAGGTTCTCGACGCCGAGCGCGATCGCCTGCTGCGGCTGGACGTCTCCAGCGACGAGGGCGTGGGTCTGCCGGCGCGGGCTGAGCGGCGCCGTGTGGCGCCGGTGCGGAGCGCGGCGCTGAGCGTCAACACGGGGCGGCAGGTGCGCCTGCAGCGTCCGAAGCGGCGCACCTCCACGCGGCGTGCGCGAGGGAGGCCGAGTGCTTCGCGCAGTGAGGAGGCGCCGCGTGCGCGGGTGTCGAACTTTAGTTGGAGTGCTGCAGGCTTTGAGGGCCAACCATCTGGGCCCTCCTCCTCATCGACAGCACGGCCGGAGCCGGATGAAAGACCCGGCCCAGGGCTGCCAAGCCTGCTTGAAGTGCCCTTGAGTCCAGACAATGAAAGCCCACCGGCAGATCGAGAGAACACACTCCCAGACTCCTGGTTCCTGGAGCCAGATGATGCCACAGGCTTAACAGCACCTCATTTCAGTGAACCAGGAGGAGGCCTGGCGGGCTTCTCGTGCATCTACGTGGAGCCAGTGCGCAGCGGCATGGAGCCCAGGAGCTGTGGACAATGCCACTGTCCCTTTGGGCCGGGCGAGCTGAGGCTGGGTTATACGCCCTGCGGTGTGGCGGCCGACGGGCGTCAATTCCTGCCTGTGTGGGTCCACGCTTTTGTCTGCACCCGCCGGGCACGCCTGGCCATTCGCTTTGATGGGGAGGCTGTCGCCTGGCACCAGCTCACAGCGACGCAACATCCAAACGAGCGATGGAACTAACCCCTTCCTTCAGGAGGTTCGGGCCAATCTCACTAGGAATTGGACTTGCAGAGGACACGGCGAACACTTGCAGAATCCATTACCACAGGTCTTTTCCTACGAAACCAGGGGAACATGTTTGCAGGGCTTGTCTACGCCAACCCGTATTTGGGGCGTCTAAAAAATATATATATATATACATATACCGAGCCCATTTGACCTCTGTTTTGATAGGAAAAGACCATATTTTGGATAGTTGATATATATATATAAATAAATATTTAGCAATAGTCCCCTTTGGAGCTTTCGGGGTGTCGATGAAGCTCCCCAAGGGCGTGTCCCGTGGTCGTCACTCCAAAAAGAGTTTTCAACGGTCAACCGGTCAACCCTCCAAAACCCATCGAAACCCACCAGCAGTCACAAAGAACGGGATGCTATCCTGGAGGTAGTTGGGGTGCCCGAACGTCCCATCCACGGCCCCTGGATGGGACGAACAAAACCACCTGGCAGTCTCATCCAGAGCTGAGGTGAGCTTCAGCCCGGCAGTTCCCTTGGTGGACCGGAATCGTTTGGTGGACGAGCTGAAGCAACTGCACCAGTCGCTGACCCAGGGACCCCGCCGCAGCCAGCCACGGCAGCTGTGTTGCCCGGAAGAAGAGCGTGGGATGAGTGGAGATGTGATACCTAGACCTAGACCTTGCCAAATATCTCCCTTTTCACCTCTAGAACCAGCTGAGAGTCTAAGAGTTGAACATTTTGCATTGGGCGATCTAGGTATGGGGGGCTTGGTTGGTTGATGTTTCCTCGCGCGTGTACAACCCATTAGGCATCGCAAAGGGACGTCGTTGGGGCGGCTAGAATGGGGCCAGTTGCAGATGTTGATGGGAATGGCCCAGCACCCCGGAACCCCGGAACATGGTTTTTGGAAGGACAAGACCCCAGGGCTCCAACCCTCCTGACAAGATGGCTAGCCACCTTCTGAGAATATGGTTGGAGACCTAGGGAGCTACCGCGCTTGCTGCCGGCTTGTTATCGATCCGTGTCCCACGTGGAGAACGCATGGCCCGGAAGGGTGACATGACCAAAAGCTCAAGACCAAACAGGTGGTGGAGCTCCACTCAAGGCTTAGGAAGTGGAGTATGACCAAGTATGACCAATCTTGGAATACTCAAGAACAAACAGGTGGATTATTCCGAGGACCGAGGAGTATGAGTTTTAAGCTAAGCCTGGCGATCAGGCCAATTCTCCTGTCAATTTGACACGATGATGGTGGCATTTGGCAGATGTCAAGTCTTGCGTGTGCCAAGGCATCCGCCCCTGGCGTTACATCCCGTCAGTCTTGCAACGCTGGCCAATCGTGCGCTTGAACGAGCAGGCAGCTGCAAGTTCATCGGAAGGAGAGGATCTTGATGGATCTTGCAGATGGTCTTCTGATGACATCGAACCGGCCATGATGTGAGTGATGGATGTGTTCTTCATTTTTCAACCCCCGCGTTGAGGTTCGTTCCTTTCCCTTTTTTCTTCCCCGCAGGCGTTTCTTTCCGGGTTTCAAGACTTCATTTTTCTTCCCAGAGACGAGTCTAAGCGCCGCATCAGCCGGATCGCGAGGATCTCGGCAGAGGCCGGCCTGGCGCTTGCCCTCACCACCGCGAGCGACACATGGAGGCAGCAGGGGTTAGAGGGGGGGTCGCGGTTTCTCTCCGCAGCAGCTGCGGAACGCAGATGAGAAGCAGATGAACGACGCAGGGTTTTTCCGGATTTGGAGTTGCCATTTTTATTTGCATGACATATATATATATATGCTACCCCCAAAAAAACCACCACCTTAGCCTTGGATGCAATCATTGGAAATATGGATGATTATGCGTGATGTTTTTTGTTTCATGTGTTTCCTTTCATTTGTTGTTGTCTTTTTTTTGGAATTGGATTGGCAAGTACTTTTTTTTTTTGGGTTAGAATCTTTATATACCAAAATATGCATACAACACTGTAAATACAAATTAACTTTGATGAAATCATGTTCTTTTTTTGGGGGGTACCAGGTACTGTATATAGTATATGTTATATATATATATATATAGCAGATCAAGAGCAGATCAGACACCTGGTTTCATGAACCAGTTTGAATGGCTTCCAAACCCTGATCTGTTTACT